GAATATGGCCCAGATATTCTTGTTCAAGTGTTTGAGTTTGAATTGTTGCGCATCCTAAAATAGCAAAACACGTTTCAGAATTGTTGACAATTTTTCTGAAACCTTTTGACCCTTTGGTAATGACAACTAACTGTAACTTGAAAATTATTTTTGTTTAAGAGATAACCCTTTCTAGGTTCTAAGTCAAACCAGCATAGTAATTGAATTTCTAGTCATTTTTAAACGTGTAACCTACACAAAGCAAAATAGTGGTGTTAAGTTAATGTCTTCTTGAGAGTATTAAGGGACACTATTGTAATAGAAATGTGTGTAAAGATTCCACATAGTCTTTTAAAAGTCTACCTACTACTGAGTCTCTTGAAATGCCCAAGTTTTCTACATGCTTTTCTTTGAACCCTCAATAACAAAGGTTCAACTTCAATGTTTGGATACAAATGTTTATTTTTAGTGATGATGAGTTTATTTTGGTTAAAACCTTTTTGGGAAAAACTATCATACATAAAACCTAAGGAATATTTGTTTCAAAAAAAATTTTTTAGGTAAAAATAAAAATTATTTTGGAAAAAATGAAAAAAAAATAAGTTCGCGCTCAATGAAATTGTATAAATTATAGGCCTATAAATATTTGAAAATAGCCACTTTGTTCTAAATTTTATGAGGATTACAAATATATAATAATATAAGGAAGTAGATTTGCAAATAAATAAGTTATGGGCAAAAAACAGATTTCAGTACATAGCGTTTAGCTAAGAATGCATAGCCTAACCATAGCTAGGAATCTGGCTGATAATTTACATCAATATCACTACCTACTTCTTCAGGATCATCAACCAGCCCTTCAAAATCACTTAAATCTTCTTATAATGCACCACGTATATCACTACTTTTGATTTTTAACAGTAAAACAACGATAAACATAATAAAACACATCAGTCATCGGTCCGAGGTTAACTAACCTGTTTACAAATACGCATGTCAGCTGTCTGCTACAATTACGATCGGCTCGGAGAACATAAAGCGCTTAGAGACAGACCTCTGGAGAAAGCTTAGAATATAATGAAAAGAACGATACCAAACTCGATCCAGTTCAATCCGATTTTGTCAGTCATAGAGCCTTCGCCGTAAACAGTGTTGGTGAGTCGCTGCAGCGACGCATGACACTCGGAGGGTTAAACTTCAAAAATGTATTAAAGTGAATTGTTTGTAATGACTTTTGTGTTATAAAAAACTCACCAACTTAACAAAGAATAATTTATACTGCTTAATCCAGTTGTATAAAAATATCCTCTTATATCCTCAACTCATGGATAGAAGATTAAATTGGTTTCTAAAAGTATTTTTGTCCACACAATTATAATTACAAACGCAAAGATGTGAAATTGAAATAATACAGACACATTCAAACTATTGAATACTGGGGCAAGTTGATTTACTTAGTAGTGTCATATTAAATATGTAGTATTAAAATACAGTACACTATATAAAAGTAAAATGTATAAATTGATAAATAATATTAATATATTGTTAGTTACATTGTCTGTTATAAATTAATTGCACATTACATATTAACAAATTTACTGGTCCTTTTTTAATCATACATTTAATTAAAGTAGAAGGGGATTTTAGAAATCAATAAGCACTTAAACTGAAGGTGAAAGAACGCAATAGAATTAGCATACTGTAATAGCCAAACTTTGCATGCAAGATTGGCAATGTCAGAAAGTAAAATGAGTTTTTAATTTAGAAAGACAGAATGAGTGTTCAGGTTGTAGTAGCTTTTTCAGCCACCTCATGAAACTAAAAGTTTATGAAGTATTGTTTGGATTGTAAATACTACATACTTATGTTATGCCCATAAAAAATACACCTGTATTTAAAACTTATCAACTCAAACTACCTTTAAAGGCCTATTTTGCTTGGAGTGATTGCAGCGATAGTCGCGTAGCGATAATCGCTCCGCGATAGTAGCTGGGCACGGTTTTAACGGAGTTTGCGTTGTCCTGTTTTGCTTAGAGCGACTGTCGCAAGAGTCGCTAGCTACAGTCGCGGACCACTGCTCTGGATACCAGTCTTGTGATAATCGCGCCACGACTGATGCGCAGCAACACATGCGCAGAACCTCAAAACAGTGCAGTTCACTCAGTAAGCACATTAATAATAGGTGTTAAAATAACCATAATTTACTTTTTCGTTTTCATTAATTTTTCTATTCTTGTGCTGTTACGATTGTACTGTTTTGTTTGGTTATATTTCCTTACACATTCATTTCATTTTCTACATTAAATTGTATAAGAAACAGGCAACTCTTTATTTCAAGCAAACTTACATTGTCATTGCTCAAATGGTTGTGTTTAATTTTTTTAGGTAATCCTCGTCTATTCGAATTTAAATAATAAATGCTTGACTGTTCCAAGTTGACTATGTGTTATTTAGGTAGTGTGCGTGTTAATACTGTTTTTTTGTATGAATAAATCTGTTTAATTTAGACTCCAGGTTTTATTTTCCGACATTCATTTACTCCTATCAATATCACTAATTTTTTTATTGATATAAATTTTCTTTTTATTGGTATCGCTACAGTTTTTTATTTATATCCTATCTAGTGACGCCTAGTGATACGTATCCATCCCAAATCCTATGTATCACTATATACTTCTTATCGATCGTCTATTGATACTTCCACTAAGGTAAAGTAGAGAGCCCATTGATGTAGGCTATACATCGATGGTAGAGCCTCATCTTCTAACTCCTCACTGAGGAGAGACTTAAAAAATTTCAACACACACTCATGACTTAACCATTGTGAGTGCTGGTATTCAACTAACTATCAAAAATCGCACGGCTACCGAAAATCAATCGCTCTAAGCAAAACGGCTGCCGCAACAGCGATAATCGCTGTGCGACTATTGCTTCAGTCGCTCCAAACAAAATAGGCCTTAACTTTGGATACTGAAGTAGACAATCTATTCACAAGAGTTGTTCAAGAAGTAAGGAACGTTTTGTAATAAAATAAATAGTGTGAACAAGAAAAATCTTTAAAAAAACTTAAATATAACTTTTTACATAGCCGCAAAACAAATTGAGGTATTTATCAAAGCTATTAATAATTACCCATTATTAATGATTTTATTATTTATGGAGGAACTTTGAAATTGATATGTTGTAGAATTTGGCCGCCTGTGAACTTAGCCACCCAGTAGCACACAATTGTAGGTCCTCATTGTAATCAAAGCGCTGTGGGGCTAACCAAGTCTTCATTTTTGGGTACAAAACAAATAAAAGATCCCCCATTTGAATGATTGAAGCAGATCAAGTACACAATTTGCTTGTGAGGTCAGTCATTGCTATGCAAAAATAAAATTTGGACTTCATCTTTAGTTTGGCCATTTTGAAACTAAATATACCATTTCCAGACTGAACTTTCACTTACAACGTTGTTTTCGTGTAATTCACACCCCTGGTAATAAATTTTCTTAGGTTAATCGTATGGCCAACAAAAGTCGGATTAATCACCATACCCCACAGCTGGCGGCATTTTTACTTGCAGCACTAACTTTTAACTTAAACTTTTAATATTACAACAACAGGCAGCATAATGACACTTCTGCTGTAATGACTGGACTGTCTTTGAGTATGCAGAAACGTCTGCAGTGGGAAGTACACGACCAACTTGCCTATTGTCATCAGTCGGACACGTTCCTTACTTTCTGAACAACCCTCGCATGTGGTTTAGCGAGGTTTTTCCCTCAAAAGAGAGGACAATAATTCATGCCTCTCAAAGAATGTGTAATTGAAGTTCCGTTTGTCTTTATTTGACCATTCAAACCATGATGCCAATGGACATAAAAGATTCTATAGTTAACAATAAATTACTCTTTTGGTCAATAATGGCCATAGAATAAACAAACTCCTTTACAGCTGGAACAGCTGTTTTTTTTTTATTTTAGGTTCCATCCTATCTATGTTTTTTATTGTTTACGTATTGTTAACTATTTTAATAAATAAAATAGTACATTTATTAAAAATTGCCTATTTGTAAAATGGTATTTTCAGGTGATCCATAAGGATTATAAATCTCTGTATGTTTTTCCAGAGTTTGTGTTAATAGCCTAGTGTTTAGCATTTAGGACTTCAGTGTGAGAGGAAAAGGTTTGATACCCAGTATATCTACAAAAATATTATGGATTTCTTCCCCTTTAAAGTGTTTGGTTTCTTACAAAACGTCATTGGTGTAAAAATCCATGATAAAAGAATAGAATGTCTACTAGCGTACCGTACGTTTAGTCAATGATATTGGTTATATTTTGTATTTAACAAGTGTAAGGTACATCACCTGAACAAACAAGATGAATAACAGTAACTTCGCTGTTGCCACACAGTAGAATCTCGTCATCTTCCTGTCGTATGCTTGAACTGTTTACTGTCCGTTTCCTTGTAGTATTTATATTTTGTTCAGGTTACACCTCAAGTGATAAATTACTTTAAGTGATAAGAGTTATCTTGTACAACCCTGTTTCACATCTGTGTAACTAGTTGGTTTTAAGTGTCTTAAAAGTGTGTAACATGTGTATTTAACTTTTATGGTATGTAATGTTAAAGCGTGCATGCCGTAAACTATTGCACAACAATACAGTTGGGCCTGAGAAAATACATTATAGATGTTAGAAGCTCTGTTCTGGATTTAAACTTGTAACAGATGTATTTAACATGTAATTTGGGCAAATGTTATTTAAACTGCTTTTTCAGTGGAAAGAAATTGATGTTATTGTGTCAAATTTTATTTTAGAATAAATAATAAAAACAGTATGGAAACCTAGTAAAATATAATTAAAAAATGTATTTAATTTTTTAAAAACCTGCTATATGCTTACTAGGTAGGCTATATCTCATATTTAGGTCTAATATGTCTCAATGTCATGCATATCGGGCAAAACAGTTGACAGAGTATTATTTTAGCATTGTTCCAAAAATTGTATTCTATTTCCTCGCTCACCAAATTTAGGAACCATAAAATACAACCTACCTACCTTTGTGGGTTTTTGGTAGATAGATGGCCAAGTATGTTTTCATATAAATGATTTTATTTAAAAAAAAAATATTGTACACAGTGTTATTACATTTTTTAACATACTGCTTGGTTAACGGTTTCTTAAATTCAAGTACCATAAATTCAAGCTCTTTATTACAATATGTGTTTTCCTGCGAATGTCACTTAAAGTCACACATTTTTATTTTAAGATAACTAGTAGACACTGATAAGTTTCCTAATTTAATCATGACTGATCCTGAAAGTCAAGTTAACTGTCAATTATTAACCCATCTATTTACCTTTATTCTTTATCATCAGTAGGATATATCATTTATCTCCTTTCTGTAGTAATTTATCTTGTCCTTTATCATGTTTATGTCATTAATTATCAGCGTTTTGTCGTCATTTATTATATTTGTGCTAGCATTTATATTGTCATTTATAATCTCAATGACATCGATTATCACATCTGTCTTGGATGTTAATCTTTCCTTTATTTCGACAGCGTTTTCTTTTGTTATTTCTTTTATGTTTTTCTTTAGATTCTCTAAGTATTCCTTTATCTTGTTAGTTTTCTTCTTAATCTCCTCATTTATCATCTTTATGTCTTTATTTATCTTCTCTGTGTCCTCATTTAACTTGTCATTTGTCATTTTTATGTCATAATTTATTTTCTTTGTTTTCTCATTTATTTTGTCATTTATCTTTTCAACATTGTCCTGTTTGTTCACTGTTGATGTTATTGTTGTTCCTCCGCTGTAAGTAAATTTACAGTTGACAGCGCATTTATCGTCATCAGAGTCAAAGATGTCGAGAAAGTCCCAATCATCTTCAGAACATTCTGTCTCACAATTCACAGTTCCCTGTTGTGGCTGAAGCAAGGGAAATAATTGTTTCCCAGATTTGTCCGTTTCCGATTTTGTTGTCTTAAAATATAAGACTGGAAAAGTCTTTTTGGAAGTTTTTGTTACTTGAACGTCCTGAAACATTAAAAATGTTAGACCTATTAGTTATTGGCTTGAACAATATAGAGTTGAATCAGAATCAGAATCAGAAATCAGAATCAGAAATATTTATTTGTCATTGGACATTACAAAAATGCATTGACAATTGTCATGTGTATATAGCATGGCTTCAGTCAGGCTAGACATTACAACTAACATGTCCAATATGTTAATTTTTTTTTTTTTTTTTTTGTGTCAGCTCTGTGGATTACAAACAGTATGGAGTGTGATTTAACAATAAATACATTTTGTAAATAAATATGAACATTTAACAAAGAATAAATTATATGAACCAACAACAAAATACAGATATTAAGATAAAAATTTATAAAAATTAACAATTGCAACAAATGTTGATGGACATTTAAAATATAAAAAACAGTAGACAAGGTCCTGCTAATAAGAGATAAAAACAGTATAACAAACGCTGATAGACAATTAAGATAAAAGATTAACAACAATATAAACTAACCAATATTAACAACAATATAAACTAACCTAGGCACTGACAATGAGTCTAAAACTGAACTTCCTTTACGGCCATGAAGTCGTCAATAGAAAAAAAAGGGTTTCTTAAGAGCCAGTCATAAAATTTACTTAAAAATAAAGAATGTCTACCTGGATAAAATTGAACAGTCTTACTCAATTTATTAAATACCTTATCGGACATAACAACATGACTTTTCAATGTTTTACTCAGCCTATTAAATGTTCTGTTTATCTGACAATTACTTCTTGTATTATATGTATGGACTTGATTGTTAAAAATTGAAGTTGATAGATTCTTTAAAGCATAAGACATAAGATCAAAAATGTACAAATTAACAACAGTTTGAATTTTTAACTCGAGGAATAAAGGTTTACTATGAGCGTCTTGGGTGGAACTTGCAATTAGTCTAACCACCTTTTTTTGTATGATTAAAATATCTGTAATTTTGCAGCTGTTTCTTGCTTTCTGTTGTCTTGCTTTAGGGAGTTAAAATTTGGTTTAGTTAATAAAAAAACTCTTTTATTGAATACCAGACAAGATATTTATGATTTGGTTTTACAGTCAATCGCGCTATTGACTATGTTACAGACTCCCTTAAAAAAAATTAGATTTAAGTAAGTACGTACATTTTTAGCCTCATCAAATTTAAATGACTGTCACATCACACTGTACAGGTAGATAATGTACACCATATTAACTTTTAAGTACTGTACCCTGTTTTGATATAATGATCTCCCATTTTTAGGTTCTATTCATAGAAACTTATTGTGGTTTGTTGCTTGAAAAATGCTCTTTTTTAAAATGTTTTTATTAGATCAATTTCTTGTATGTTCGGTACAATTTCGCAATCGATTTTAAACCAACTTTCCGGTGAGATAGAGACTTGAAACTTGAAACATAGCTCACAAATGAATGATAATGCAATATTAAGAGTGCGCTCTACCTCAGCTCAAATTTCTCAATACGAAGCTGCTGAACGCCGATGTCCCTATACCATTGCATTGAACAGCGCCATGAAGAGCGCTTGCAAGCCTTTCGAGTCTGCGTGTTTACATAGTTATCATTCAACTTTTTAGTAAACTAATTCCAGGTTCTTGTTTTTAAGAATCTATTGCAGGTTTCCCGTTTTTTATTTTTTCTCTAAAAATTATTTTAATGTATTAAAACTCATGATAAAAAACGCCTATTTTTACATTTTTCACCAACCTTTGAGCCCAACATTTTTTAAATTATCAAAATGTAAAAAAACGGGAAACCTGCAATAACATTTAACGAAAAATATGACACCAAGATCTTTTAAATTGGTTCACAATTGGGGCTACAATCAGGAAGAACTAAAACCCTTACATTTGCGCGAGCCAGACGGGTAGAGCGCACCCTTAAATCATTTTATTTTCATATTTCCCTTGGGCTACACCTTATTGGCTTACAAACTGTTAATGTTTACATCTAGGTGAATGTAAATATATCCGGTGGGGCACACGGGAGGGACTATGGCTAACATGTCGTGTAGTGTCAGGGTTCGCCGCTAGAACCGCTAAGTTGAAAAAATTAAAACTATTTTTTTTTTTTTAGCTATAAAATAAAATAATTTTTTAATTATTAAATAATTTTTTTAATTATAAAATTAAACTGTCAAAACCTAACCTAACGAACCAAACTTGCTGATAATATAAAAATACCCCCGCCGCAGCAAACCTGCAGACTAAGCAAATTTCAACTTGTCTGATTACATATTTACTAAAATATTTCCATAAATAAGACATATTTATTCCCAATTTAAAGAACATTAGATTTAACGAGTACTTAGGTTTGCTGCTACGATGGAAGGTAATCAGTGTGTTTTGACCAAACGTCATGTAGTATAAGAAGAAATAAAAAATTTTGCCAAATTTTATCAAAATATATCCATAAACAAGTAAACTACAACAGTTTTCATTTTCTCCGTAAGAATAACATGGGAATTTTAAATTTTCATTTTTTTTAATTTTCTCTGTAACCATTGGGCATACAACAATGCTTCAATATACTAAATTATTTGTTTTTTTAAGCTCTACAAAATGGTAAGGTAAGAAATTCCAAAATTTTATTTTTTTAGGGTAAAAAATTGGAAAAACCCACTTTTTTACCCCATGAAATCCCCCATAAACCCCCGTTCCCATGGTCCGATCATGCTCGTTCGCGAACTCATTCGAATAAATGTAGGTTTACACGTTTATCCCAAATTTCATCAAAATCGGATAATTTTTGTTCGAGTTATCGTGCTAACGGACACACATACAGTGTGTAAATTAAGTATGGAAACAAATCTGTATTTTTAAAACCGAAATAGATAGAAATATTCTATTTGTGGCAATAATAGTTAACAAAGATTCCGCAATTTTTCACATGAAAAATATTTTTTTACCCCCCTAACAGGGTAGGGGGTAGGGGGTGACTTATTTTTTTCAAATAGCAACCCCTATTGAGTGACCCCTCATTTTGAAGAGTTTGTCAAAAGAAACACAATGACGCAAATCCGAGGTGAATATCTCACTCCTAGCCCAAATGGCGGATATTCCAAAATTTGATTTATTGTACGTGAAAAGCACCAATTTCACAAATAATGGAAAGAAATCTGTATTTTTAAAACCAAAATAGATAGAAATATTCTGTTTGTGGAATTGATTGTTGACATAGGTTCCGCAATTTTTTTAATCAACAATATTTTTTCAACCCCTTTAACAGGGTAGGGGGTGGGAGTGACTTATTTTTTTCAACAACAACCCCTATTGAGTGACCCCTCATTTTGAAGGGTTTGTTAAAAGAAAAAGAATGACGCAAACCCGAGGTAGATATTTCACCCCTAGCCTAAATGGTGGGTAATGAAAAATTTAATTTTTGTAAAAAAAAGCCCATTTTGGAATATCCGCCATGTTAGCTAGGAGTGAGATATTCACCTCGGATTTGCGTCATTGTGTTTCTTTTGACAAACCCTTCAAAATGAGGGGTCACTCCATAGGGGTTGCTATTTGAAAAAAATAAGTCACCCCCTACCACCTACCCTGTTAGGGGGGTAAAAAAATATTTTTCATGTGAAAAATTGCGGAATCTTTGTTAACTATTATTGCCACAAATAGAATATTTCTATCTATTTCGGTTTTAAAAATACAGATTTGTTTCCATACTTAATTTACACACTGTATATATATATATATATAAATTTGAACAGATGGTGTTTTTGGCCTCTGGGGACCTCAAAACGAAAAAGTAAATTGGTCCCGGGTCCAGGTCTTACCATGAGACCTACGGTAATAGCTTATTCCCTATATAGGAAATTTGCTAAAATATATTATAAAAATCAAATGAATGTTAACTTATAATTTTTAATTGTAAAATTTAAAATTAATTTTAAAATTTAGTATTATAAAATTAAACTGTCATAACCTAACCTAGCCAACAAACTTTGTTTAGTATTCTATGGTTTATTTTATTTCAGTCTGGCTTCAACACATGTTTTGGGGGTTTTTCAATTTTACTACATGTGATTATTGTTTTGATAATATCAATGTTGTTAGAAATAGTCAAGGAATACATCACAGTTTTTACCTAATTCATTTTGCATTTTTTTGTTGGTGATTTTCTCTATAGATTATGTAATTGTATTTTAAAGTTATATAAAGGACTTTCTCATTCTTAACCTCAAGACTCAATTCAAGATTGGTAAGATATAATTAATTATTCATGGTAATCTCTATTCAGTTCCATTACATCAAACATAAAACTATTCTATCCACTTTAAATTCCCTAATAATTTCATTGGTCCTTCGAGCCGGATGAAAGAATCAAGAATATGGATATTCAAAATTACTAATATTGTACATTATTATTTGTTATTTCATCAAGATATTTAAAATTCAATCTTAAAAATCTACTAATGTACTCTGAAAAATTGGAATGTTTGATTCTGTTGCCTTAGTAACAATATTACTACCCCTTTCTATCTTTGCCTTTACAACCACATTTTTCCAATCAGCTCATTAGTACATTCCTTTAATATACAAAATGAAGTATCAAACCTTTGTCAGATTTTCTAACCTAATCAAAGTTCGTCTCAATAATATTCTTTCATTTATTGACACTATATCAGAAAATGATCATGTTGAATTAGTTGATCAACAAAAAGTTAATTCCTATAAAAGTGAAGTCAATGAAAAGCGTTGTGAATTTAATGAACACATTAGAAAATTACTGGACGTGCCGAATCTGCCTGGTGACTATGATGAACAAGATCTAATTGATCGACAGGAGGAAATAAATGAACTTTGTATCAGCATAGAAAGTAAAATAAATTCTTATCTTTTGGAAAGTAAAGGCAATGATGACAATCAATCTATTACCTCTCATCTCAATGAACGGGAACACTCTAACATGTCTGTGGTGCGCTTACCGAAAATAGAATTAAAAAACTTTAATGGTGACTCTCAAACTTGGATAGCCTTCATCA